ATTGCTCAGGGGTTCTCGGTGGCTGTCATTGGCACTCGCTCTCTTCCTCTTTGTTTAAGTCTATCCAACAGCCACAAAAAGCCCCTACTTAGTTTTATACACTCGTCCCTCCTATTCAGGACGTTGACTGTCTTGTTAATTTCTATAGATTCGCTAATCTTACGCTTTGACGCATAGTCCCCGTAACCCGCAAAACGATGTGTTTTGCACCTGTCTATTGAGTGTCCTGCATTGGCAATGTGTTAAGCCAGCTCAGATTTTTGGGCACACAGACCCTTACAAGTGGTTCTGTGTTCTTATAGTCTCTGATGAATGGGTCGCCAGGTCTCCCTCACATAGACCTTAACACATGAGCACAAAATCTTGTATCAGCCTGATCTAGAAAGAGGGTCTGAATAATCTCTAATCGAAGGAACTACTGAAGAAAGTGTTAATTTCTCTTTATACATTGTTTTTCGAATTCCTCAGTAGATCACCCAACTTTTTCGCAAGCTGACAGGAAGTCAAAATCAGGAACCGAGTAGAATTTTCCAATTGTCTATCCTGCCCCTGATAGCAAACTCCTCTCATCGTGTTAACGACAATTAATATGTAATTGTCTACTAATCCTAATTGGAAACTGTTTTGAAAGAGTTTATTACTAAAAAGTTATGACTACGCTTTTATTTATTTGTTAATGCTTTATCATCTCTCAATAGCTACTTATCACCGTTAAATCTATCCTCATCTCACTTTTTCTCATTGGTTTTATAAAACCGCCACTAGCAATTTAATATCGACATTGGTTGATCCACTAAAATGAACTAATCCCTGTTCAACTCCATGTTCCATTATCCACTCTCGCTCATGCATGCCTCAGCCTATTCTATTCTATTCTACGCCATCTACTCAACTATGCCCCATCCCAACTTCATTTGATTTGCCAATTCCAAACCAACCAATCATCACGATCGAACTCGTTTCAACTTCCCTTTTTCATTTATTTCAGTGTGACGGGGATGCAGCATTTGCAATCAAATACACAACCTGTAACTGCTGGCAACCATATTGCGTCGATCACCACAGCCCAAACCCAACAACCGATTCCCTCTCATCCCCACTCTCATCAACAGCAACAACAGCAAAATCAATTACTCAATGCAGCCGCAGCTGCTGCCGCGGCTGCTGGTGTCGGTGTCAGTGTTCTGCCAACCTCAAATACCCCTTCTGGCTGTGAGTTAGTCAACTATCACCAGCTTGCTGCCTTCACGAATGCACTCTATGTGCAGCAGCAACAGCAACAACAGCAGCAGCAGCAACAGCAGCAGCAACAACAGCAGCAGCAACCGCATCCCGCACATTTGCTCCAGTCGGGCCAAGTACAGACTCTGCCCAGTCAGCCCTCACAAGCGCAGCCCCATTCACACCTTATGCTTGCCGCCGCTGCAGCCGCTGCCACAAACCATCAACTCAATCCAGTAACCCAGCAGCTACCGGGACCACTGGCCTACCAGCCAGTTGCACATGCTCATCACACAGGACAATCTGCCTTACAGCAACCGCAGCATCAACTGCAATTTCAGCATCAACAACAACAGAGGCAGCAACACCAACAACAACAGCAGCAATTGCTCCAGAGCCAACAGCAATTGCACCAGCAACACTACATACAACAGACTTGCCTGACCTGACATACTCTGTCCCTCTTTCAGCTTTAAATTTCTAGCTTCATTCCATATATGCCCCAATCTTACCCTCAGCATCTCTTTCCTGACAATTTTTTATATATTCTATTCCTTTTTCCAACAGCTTTTATCCTACTCCCTTATTCCTATAGTATCTGATTGTGCACCCTATTTGAAGAGACCGCTCATTCTACAGGATTTATTGCAGGACTACTCAATAATCCTGTGATATTCCACATTTCTAATATTACACTTTACCTTTCTTACTCCATTGTTCCTTTGGCAAGGTGAGCTTAACATTTCTAAACTGCTTATCCATTTTCGTATATTATTTTTCAGACCACATTTATTTGTACATAGTTTAGAACCCACAAATACTTGCAATATTATCCACCCCGAATTTTGTCTAGTATTTCATGCATTTTCACGCACACGTAATAAGACTTGATCTTCTGTAAAATTGCCTCTTTAAGCACAAGATTTTAAAGTCCTTATTTTTTTCCTTTGCAGCCGATGCCAGTTATTTAGGCGAATTATTTGCCATCAGGATCTCCCCTTTAAACATACCATCTGATCTATAATCAGAAATCATCATAGTCATCCATTGAGTCTCACTTTCCAAAGTCCCGCATCGTTACATTTTGATTTATCCCATTACTTTACTCGATTTTTGAGCGATTG